AATTGGCCTGGACAGGAAGGGGGTAAAAGTGTCCAGACTTGAAGTGGTTAAAATTCAAATTTTCCTTATACAAGTATATCACCCTTATTTGTAGGCGCTGTTTGCAATTCTTCTCAAATCTTTGGAAGTTAATTCGCATCTTTTATTCTTAACATTTTTCTTGCGATCCCTGTTGACTATTTGCAACAAAACGTTTGATGGTTCTGTGATCACACCTCAATATCTTAGCAATTTCAAGAGTGCTGCATCCCTCTGAAACACTTTTTACAATTTTTTACTTTTCAGAATCAGTTAAATCTCTTTTGTGGCCCATTTTGCCGTAAGAAAATAATTATGCACACCTTGATATAGGGTGTTGATCTCCTTAGGCCACGCCCTCCCTCATTACACATCACCTGATATGCCTAAATCCAAAAAGCATTCACGTTTATACAGCTTGGAGTTGGACAATATGCGTAAAAATTATGATTTGGTAATTGCCTAATAATTGTGCACACAGTGTATATTGATACTTCCTTCTTTTCATGATACATACTACAACTCATCACCCTCGGACTAAATCTAGAGTTACTGGGTATAGGATCAATACTCTGGAACACAAATAACCAACTTGCATATTCTTTTTGACTGTTAGATAAAATATACAGTTGACTAAACCTGCAGTGCTCAAAAGGATCATTCAGTGTGATGTACACATATGAATTCCTAATGGAAAAAGGAGGATGAAGCTGCTTGAAGGTGTTTGAATTGTGATATAATATTATTTATATTTATTTTATATATTTTTGAAGGGCATTTTTTCCCATAATTGCATAAAAATGGTTAGAATAAAAGAACAAGCAGTCCTTATATTAGATACAGCCTGCAATGAATTTTGGGGCAATATGTAACATCATTAAAACGTGGATAATATTGGCTTGACTGCAAGTGGGTATGGAAAAACATGAGGTTTGTGGATTTTTGGTACTTCCTCCTTTTATAAACTCATGAACAACTGTATGACTCTAACAACTGCCAGTTCCTTATAAACCTTCCTTATTTTTCAATATCGATGTACATTGCTACAAACCACAATAGAGGTCAACGTATGCTAACACTGGGTAACAGTTTAGCTTCTGAACTGAATATATATCCCCTATTGGCCCTTTCCTTTATGATGTATTTTGTGTGCACCCAGTCTGGGATGTATCTTAAGCTAATTTACTTGCAGAACTCTCTACTTCGTCCTTCACTCCCTCACCCACTAACTCAGTCACTGCCCAAGAGATCGCCAATCACTTCAAAAATAAGATTGATACAATTTGCGATGAGATCTCCTCTTTACATATATCTCCCCCACTTAACACCCTATGTCCACAGGTGCACTCAACACTTTCCTCATTCAACCCCTCTACGATAGACAAGGTTGCTAAACTTTATTCTAACACCCACCTATCCACCTGCCCCCTGGACCCTGTTCCCTTGCAAATGTTACGGTCACTGTCTGGTTCTCTCCTATACTAACTCACATCTTCAATCCCTCCCTCCCTTATGGCATCTTCCCCAACTCTCTAAAGCATGCACTAATCACCCCTATACTTAAAAAGCCTTCCTTAGACCCACCATTCTTAATACTCCCCATCTCCTTTCTTCTCTTTTCCTTCAAACTTCTTGATGTCTAGTTTACAACCAAATGAGAGACCATCTTACTGAGAATAACCTTCTTGATCCCCTTCAGTTTGGATTTTGCCCTCAACACTCCACAGAAACTACTCTCCTAAAACTCACAAACGATCTACTAATGGCTAGAACCAATGGACATTATTTTGTACTCCTACTCCTGGGCATCTCTGCTGCCTTTGACACAGTAGACCACTGCCTCCTCAAAAAAAAAAACCCTACTCCCTTGTTCTCTGTGGCTGTACTCTGCGCTGGTTCTCATCTTACCTTTCCCACTACACCTATGTCACGTACAATTCCACTTTCTCTTCTTCCTTTCTCTGTCGGGGTCCCCCAAGGTTCTGTTCTTGGACCTCTCCTATCTCAATCTGCACTGCCTCCCTTGGACAGCTAATAGCCTCTCATGGGTTCCAATACCATTTTACGCTGATGACACCAAAATCTATCTCTCTACTCCTCAGCTCACTCCATCCGTCTTCACAAACATCACTAATTGACTAACAGACATATCAGTCTGGATGTCACACACCACTCTCTCAAACTCAATTTACCCAAAATCAAGCTCATAATATTTCCTCTCCCACATGCCCCTTCCCTTGACTTCTGTATCAAGATCAACAGCTCAACTATCAACATGTCCCCCGCATGCCAAGGTACTAGGTGTAAACCTGGGTTCTGAACTATCCTCTCAGCCCCACATCCAATCACTGTCCAAAGCCTGCTGCCTCAACCTCTGCAACATCTTTAATATATGCCCTACCTAACCAATGACACCACCAAGCTCCTATCCCACTCCCTGGTCATCTCTCACCTCAGCTACTGCAACTCCCTTCTCATTGGCTTACCTTTACATAGGCCTTTACATAGGCTATCCTCTCTTCAGTCTATCATGAATGCTGCTGCCAAACTCATCCACTTTACCAGCCACTCATTGTCTGCTACCCCACTCTGTCTATCCATCCATTGGCTTCCGCTCATCCAATGAATTAAATTCAAAATACAACAACTTACAAAGCCATCCACAACTTTTCCTGCAGTTACACCACTAACCTAGTCTCAAAATACCAACCTTATCGTTCTCCTCCCCAGACCTCCTGCTCCCTAGTCATTTACTCCCAATCATGCCTCCAGGACTTCTCCCGAGCCTCTCCCATCCTATGGAACTCCCTACCCCAATCTGTCCTACTCTCTCTTACTCTGTCCACTTTTAGACGATCCCTGAAAACCCTTCCCATCTGAGAGGCCTACCCTGCTCCCACCTACAACTGTATTTCCACTTTCTCCATCAGCTCATCCCCCACTGTTATGTCTATTCTGACTCCAACTGTTGTATTAGTGATTTATCCCTTGCTTAGACCTCTATGCCTGGCCTGTGTAAGCAGATACAATCACCACAGACAGTCTTTATCCGATAGCTGAACTCATGAAACACCTTTTCTTAGAAGGAGGTCTTTATTGAATGCAGCAGGTACAGCAGACAACAAGATGTAGCAGATGATTGAAAAGACGGTATTTGCAGGTCAAAACATGGTAATGTGTTCCTGGATGCGAGCAGATTACATGTGGCCTAGAGACTAGCAGCCATATTCATCCCAATAAAGAAAGAGTGAAAAAGAAAAGGAAATACATCACAGGAGAGAGGAATCAGGATGGAACACAGAACCAAAAATCAATAAACAATAACCAAAATGTCCACAAGATGGTAGTTTATTAACATTAACCATAACTATGTATTGCATTATATTTTTACACAAGTGTAACAGCGCAATGACCTTTTGTATCTCTTGACCCTCCCTCTTAGATTGTAAGCTCTAATGAGCAGGGCCCTCTGATTCTTACTGTATTCAATTGTATTGTAATTGTACTGTCTGCCCTGATGTTGCAAAAGGACTGCGTAAACTGTTGGGTCTATTAAAATCCTGTAGAATAATAATAATAGTTATAATAATAATAATGTTACGTATTCCTGATCTTTACACTTTATCTTGTGCAGTGTGTTTTTACTCCTGATCTATGCATTCTGTAAGCTGTGTTGTACATTAGACACTACTTACCACTGTTTTTACTGTAATTAATGTTACATAGTCCTGACTGCTGCACTCTGTAATATGTGATGTAAACGACATACTCTTGAACATGTTTATTGTCTCAACAGTTGCTGGTTGCTGTTTAGTCCCCCACTATTTTAATGATGTTCCTCTTTTAAGATAGGATCAGACAGCTTGTTAGCTGTCTGTCTATATTCTGTACAGAAAAAGGCATGTTTAATTAAAGAGTAACAATTAACAAGAAAATTCAGCTTTTCTACTTCCCCCCCCCCCCCTTTCTCTTCAACTTTCAGATAGTTTTATTTGGGGGGATAGTGGGTACCTGGTTTTGACAGGTACCCACTCCCACCTGGATCACCAAGACGGTCTGAGCAGACGTTCACCCTCCCTCCTGCCTGCAGCCTCTTGGGACATCTCACAAGTCCCAGGAGGCTGCGTGACCATCCACAGGGTGCAGCGTGGTTCTCACATGTGCAGTGAGGAGCCAGCTGTGAAGTCACAGCCAGCTTCCAACAGTAAGAATGCCAATGCTGGGAACCCAAAGACTGGTGAAGAACCAGCCTCGGTGAGGACAGCGCTGGATCTCTTGACAGGTAAGTGTCCTTTTATTAAAAGTCAGCTGCTACAGTATTTGTAGCTGCTGACTTTTAATTTTTTTTGGGGGGGGACTGAAGAACCTCTTTAAGGAGTATTTTGTGAGTACACAAAATACGACGCGTGTGTGCTGTATACCTTGAGTCAACAAAAACTCTATTAAGTTGTGTCCAATATTCAGTGTAATTTAACCATGTCTACTGTTTGCTGCGGCACTACATACACCACAGATCCTTAACTCCCTACGATATCCTAAATTGGGAGGTATAACTTCCTGTCCAAGGGGAGGAAATATCCCTATTGTGTAGACAGACGGCAAAAAAAACAAAATCTGACAGAGGCTTTGTCTGTTCCACACTCCATCCAAAACTAGAAGAAAAAGTTATACTTTAATAGATACAAAGGCACATGTACTGTTTTAACTATAGTTTGCAGGAGGAAATGAGAGGGTTACCACATGTTGTAAAGCTTTGTAATCTACATGAAATACTGTTTTCACATTTTGTAATCTCCTCAACTTCCCTTTTCTAGGCTTTATGTAGTGTTGGTCTGAAAAACAGATTCCGGATCTCCAGTCCTAGGGGAATAGTAGGTGCGTCTCTGCTCTATTATACTTGTAAATGTGTTTCTAAATTTGTAAATGTTCATGTGGGAGCAATATGGAACTCAAAATGTGTGTGCTTGTATGCTAGAGATACCATGGCAGTGCCAGTGATCACCCAGCAGCCTGGATATGGAACCTATGCAGCTATGTCTTCAACTGGTGAGTGGAGCAGCCAGCTCTGTGACTGCTGTGAGGACTGCGGCATCTGTAAGTATTATTATTATACAGGATTTATATAGTGCCAACAGTTTGCTCAGCGCTTTACATTATAGTGGGAGACAATACAGTAACAATACAGTTCAATACAGGAGGGATTTGAGGGCCCTGCTCCTTGGAGCTTACAATCTAGAAGGGAGGGGTTTGTGGTACAAAAGTTAGTAACTGTGGGGGATGGAGTGGTTGGAAGAGTAGAAGATTCCAGTAATAGCTGAAGGCAGGATAGGCTTCCCTGAAGAGAAAGGTTTTCAGTGATTGCCTAAAAGTGAGCAGAGTAGGCGATAGTCTGATAGTATGAATATGAATAGTCTAAATATAAAATATACCTTTTCCTTTATTGTCTTACCACAATCAAATATATAGAGAATAGCTGAAACATTTATGTAGGATGTTTGTGTGAGCTAAAGAATCTCAAACCTAAATTTTTGTGTTATTGTTTGATTGCAAAATGTATAACAGAATTAAAACAATTTCAAATTTGTCACCACATAATGTGTAAGTGCACATGTCAGTTAAGTTATGCAACCAATCAGAAATTATCTCTTTGCTCTTTTTTGCAATTAGATTAATTTAATATTTCTGATTAGTGACAATAATTTACATATTATTTTCTGGATGATTTAAAGGATAAGTTTACCTTTTTACAAAAAATAATAAATGCACATTTTTTTTCAGGCACAAAAATGTGCATTTATTATTCTTTGTTTCTGGAGCCTCTAAAGCATTTTACCAGCAAGCAGCAGATGGCTGGTGTTATTCAGGTCTCCTGCAGACCTTTCAGTGTATCTGTGTGCCTGTACATCCTGTACAGAAGACTTAGGAAGACCAATGAACTACCATGGCACTCCACAGCGCCGTGGTAGTTCATTAGGAGCTACAGGCCGCTAGCCTCTAAGACTGTCGGAACTCGTAGTATTCTCATTCACAGAATACTGTGCTCCGCCTGCACAGCCATGTTTTTTTTAAAAATTGTGACAACTAGAGCGGAGAAGAAATGAATGTGCTTCTGGCGCTGCTCAAGACCGACAGAGAGCAAAGATCAATATCAAATATTGGATGAAGCGCTCTGCTATAATAGTGCTATATACAAAAATCAAAATATTATACACATATGTAAATGTAAATGTAGTGCTTAAATAATATATGTGTTAAAATTATATAAAAATTCATATAAGATCAGTCTGCCCCCAAGTGGCTAAAACTGGTTATACATGTGCACATACAACAAAATAGAAAGTGACCAAGTGCTTAAGTACATAAATAGTGTCTTAATAAATATAATAGAAATAAAAATCACAGTGAATAATCTTAAAAAGTGCCAAGTGTTTAAATAACAATCAATATACATATAGTATAATCATGTGCAAAAAAACATGCTATCACTCTTCTGTGAAAAAATATATATACGTGCTTCTTCATTCAAATAGTGCTCAGACCAAAGTGTCACTCCAGTGAATCAATCCTAAATATCCAGAGTGCCTCCTCACCTCCAACATTCGACCCCTAGAGGTCACAAATCATTTATTTAAATTGATCCTGAAGAAGCCACGTGACAGTGGTGTAACGCGTGGAGCTCATTGACGTCATTTCCGGGTGGAGCTCGGTGACGCACTTCCGGTTTTTGGCAAACACGATTTCCTATCATACCCATAGGATATGGGGGAACCGCTTGTATACTTCTAAGAGCATGTGAGTTTTCCATCTGTTTTTCTTTATAATAAAACTACATATTGCGCTATGGAGATCTCTCTTTGTGCTTAAATCTTCCATGGTCCATGGACATATGGCTGAGGCATCGTATATATTGAGATTTTGAATTGTGCGGCAAGTTATATCCTGGTGTCGTTTTTGGAACATCATTTAAATAAATGATTTGTGACCTCTAGGGGTCGAATGTTGGAGGTGAGGAGGCACTCTGGATATTTAGGATTGATTCACTGGAGTGACACTTTGGTCTGAGCACTATTTGAATGAAGAAGCACTTATATATATTTTCACAGAAGAGTGATAGCATGTTTTTTTGCACATGATTATACTATATGTATATTGATTGTTATTTAAACACTTGGCACTTTTTAGATTATTCACTGTGATTTTTATTTCTATTATATTTATTAAGCTTTACAGGCTCCAAGTAAAAAAAATAATAAATGCACATTTTTTTACCTACAAATATATGTGCATTTATTATTTTTTTTACAAAGGTGAACTTATTCTTTATGGTTCCTGCACACTGAGCTGTCAAAGTAGAGCAGTGCATCCTTCCTGGTATTTTAGAGCTCCTGGGAGGGACAGGTACAGCCTCCAGACCCTGCAGCCTGTCAAAATCTATGCCTGGGGGGGAGCACTGTACTAGTGGTATTAGTGTTTAGGACCCTATATGTTCAGGCAAAAAGATCTGAACAAATGCAGAAGACCTACATTGCAGATCTTTGTGGGAGAAAGCACAGGGCCCACTACCAGTCAGTACAGTGTTCAGCCGCAGACTGCCACAGACTTTGACAGGCTGCAGACGGAGCGGTTGAATGCTTCACCTGTCCTTCCCAGGCGTACCAGAACACCAGGAGGGATGCACTGCACCTAGACAGCTTTGTGTACAGGGGGCCTTATACATCTACAGTGGGCAATAAACCTTCACTTCACTCTCTTGAGTATGTCAGATGCCTGATCTCATGCTGTGCACTGTGGTTCTTTCCACTGACACCTACATCATTGTTGCATCCTGTAGTGCTTGGTGGCAGGAATGATTGCACATAGTAGAGGGTGTCTGCTTACTCCCAGAGGCCGCAGCCCTGAAGAAAGTGAAGAAAGGGATCATGTATCCAAAATTAACCACTTGCCCTCCAGAGGATTTACACTCCTTCCTGACTAGGCTATTTTTTGCGATATGGCACTGCGTTACTTTAACTGATATTTGCGTGAACATGCAACACTGCACCCAAATGAAATTTATGTCCTTTTTTTTCCTACAAATGGAACTTTCTTTCGGTGGTATTTGATCACCTCTGCAGTTTTTATTTTTTGTGCTATAAACAAACAAAAGGCCAACAATTTTGAGATAAAAAAACAATATTTTGACCTTTTGCTATTAAACATGTCTAGTAACAAAAATGTAAAAAATTTAATTTCGTCATAAATTTAGGCCAAAATGTATTCTGCTACATGTCTTTTCTAAAAAAAAGTTATAGCATTTACAAATGAAGGTATATATACTGGAATTTTTTTTTTTACTAGTAATGGCGGCAATCAGCAATTTATAGTTGGACTGCAGCGGACATTCTGACACTGGGGGGAACTGACTAACTGTCACTGACATCCCCAGTGATACTAATACAGTGATCAGTGCTAATAAAAAGCACTGACACTGTACTAATGACACTGGGCAGGAAGGGGTTAACATCTGGGGCAATCAAAGTGTTAACTGTTTACTATGTGCTCTGAGTGTGTTTTATAGTGTAAGCATATTGCTTTGTATTGCTCTGCCACGGAGCAATACAAAGCAGTGTGCTGGAGCTGACAGAGGAGAGTTCTGTATTGTTTACATACAGACCTTTCCCCCGTTAGTGATACTCGGCGATCGCCAGGTGCCGGCTGGGAATCACCGGCCGGGACCCGGTGATCGACAGCTGAAGCCGCCAATGGCGGCACGGGTATGCCCCCCTACTCAGAAATGCAAAATCACATATATGTATATATGTGTGTGTGTGTGTGTGTGTGTGATGATTTTGCGCAGCCCTGCTGCCCTGTAGCAGTATTTCTGCTACAGGGCGGCGGGCAAGAGGTTAACAACCAATATTAACTATATTGCTTACCAGCTGTGGTAACTGCATTTCTTTTCTTTTTTTGTGTGTTTGGTAATTTACAATTGAAAATACAGGTAACATTGACTTAGATATCAGTTTATTGCGTATGAAGTTACAAGGACATTAAAGCAAGCCATAGATGATTCGAAAATCGCTTGATTCCCCTATCAACACAGTCAATGTTGATGGGGGAATCCCTCCAATAGTGAGACTTCCTGGCTGGCAAAAGACAATGAATACTGTTATTATGGCTATAGCAACAGGCACTAATTGCATGTAAAACATCTGACAGGCTAGTTGTACCCAAGTCAATCGATGGATCCTGTCTTCTCTGATCCTCCCCTTCTTCCACAGTCCTCAATCCATCCAGAGCCTTGGGGGCAAGCTCCACATGCTCAGTGTGGTGTGTATTGCTAGATTTTATTTTTCTTTGGGAGAGTGCATGTGATCAGGACAGGGCCAATCAGCATGGTCTAGACAGAGGGTCAGGGGTTATGCAGCCTCACAAGACTATCAGGGGAGAATGAAAACTCCTCCTACAAGCTGTAACCAGTGCTCTGCTGGACACTGATAGAAGTCACAAGACTGCTCTAACTTCTGATGAGAAAAGGTATTTAGCAGTTTATATTTACTAAAATAATTGCATTTCCATGTCATGTGTACTGTGGGAGACCAGATATAGTGAATGTAGGGTCCTGGGTTTAGTAATACTTTAAGAGTCTTCTTTTTCATAGAGCTTTTTTTAGAACTTTTTTAGAACCAATGTCTCTTTAAACGAGGGCGCTGGAATTGTCCGAATCAGCTGATTTCATTGGTATCTATTTCCAAGATTTTGACTTGGTTGTTTAGTGTTCATGTAATTAGTATTTAATAATTTTTTTTTTAGCTTGAAAGGTTTCAAAAACAGGTTTTTGTTTTTGGTCATCAGGCAGGTGCTGTGGGGAGAGGTTAACCTCCCTAACGGTATTCCCGAGTGTAGCTCGGGGTAAAATGTCTGTACCAAAAGCGGTAACCCCGAGCTACACTCAGGCTTACCATGCGGCGCTGCATAGGGAGTCCCTGCAGCACTTACCTTGTCCTTCGCTCCTGCGATGTGTCCCCTGCAGCGTCCCCGGCCATCTCCTCCAGCTGATGCCGGCATCCGGCTCCTGTGTTCCGGTCCCTGTGACGTCGGGACATACGAGCGGCGGCGGCGGCGGGAAATTTGAAAATTAAAAAAAAATGTCATTTTTTTCAAAACGATTTTACATAGTAAAACATTGCTGTTTCAACCCATTTCACATACATTTTGTCCATAGTGCTCTGTCCTGTCCCGTCTGCATTTTGAATGTTCTTTCTGCCTGGAAACTTAGAGAAGTCCATGGCATCCAAAAAGCATCCCTTTAGGTCAAAAGCGGTTTTAGACAGCTAGAGAACAGCGATAGTAAATTAGAACTACTTGCAGAATTGAGTGATAATGATTCGTGGAGAAATTCGTCATCAGACACTGAAAACAATTTTGCGACTTTGCTCAGTGATGTGCGAACTTGGCGCTATATTTCAAATTTCAGTGTTTTTGGTTTGATTATATTATTGAATTAAATGTCATATTATTATATTATTATTTTTTTTATGATTATTTATTAAATTATAATTTATGATTTTGTGTTTCAAATTTTATCATACACAGGATGTTTACTAGACTCTTGTTCGGACAGATTTCAGTGAGTTATTCCTAAATATTACAGCCTACAATAAACAAACTACATATTTCCATGCAAAATAATGGTACCGCTTTCAGCACCAAAAATCTGAAATAATCATACCGCTAGGGAGGTTAAGCTACTACATTTGCAACACCAGTGCAGTTGTCACTGGCATTAAAAGTCATCTTTCATGATAGAATGCCCCTACTGCAGGCACTGTTATTTCAGCATTAGTGGATTTAGTCATCCAGCACAACAATGGTTTCTGCTGATACAGGACACAGAGACAACTTCTTTCATACAAAACAGAACACTAACATAATTATCATATGTTTCTATGTTTGCAGGTCTCTTTGGACTCTGTTTCCCAACATGCTTAGCATGCTATGTGGCTGATAAATATGGTGAAAGCTGCTGTTTGCCCTTTGTCCCAGGAGGAATGACCGCAATGCGAACACACATGCGCTTGACTTATGGCATTCGAGTAAGTATTTGGGCTAATTACATTCATACAAGCAACACAAAGCACCATGATGAAATTTGGTGTTACTGCACTTTGCATATTACAATTGCCTATTATAGAATCATAATTCCTAAGGCATTGGATATGTATCTCCAAATATAAGGAGACCCTAAAAACGCCAAATGCCTTGGATTTGGCAGTTCTGAACAAAGCATGGATCTCCCAAACTTAGAAGTCTATGGGGTTTATTTACTAAAACCGGTTCGCTCAGAATCTGGTGTCTCACAAAAGTATTGTTATTAGTGCCCGGTCATACCAGTGCGATTTCAGTTGCTCCCCCATCGCCTCTAGATGTTAACCCCTTAAAACCACAAACCAATCAATATACACTTACTGGGATTTTTTTTTACCAAAGACATGTAGAAGAGTACATTTTGACCTAAATTTATGAAGAAATTAGATTTTTTAATAAGATATGTTTTATAGCAGAAAATTATTATTATTATTTTTTTTAATTATTGGTCTCTTTAGCCTTATATAATAAAAAAAAAAATAAACAGTACTGATCAAAAGCCAACAAAAGAAAGCTCTATTTGTGTGGAAAAAAAGGATATAACTCTCATTTGGGTACAGCGTTGCATGACCGCAGAATTGCCAGTTAAAGTAGCGCAGTGCTAAATAGCAAAAAATGGCTTGGTCATGAAGGGAGTAAAGCCTTCCTGTGCTGAAGTGGTTAACCTTTACCCAACCAGAACCACTTTTAACTGTTAACAGGTTAACATGCTTAGTACAGCACCAATTAGGTGTAGTCATAAAGTCCTTGCAGGAGGTTACCTTCCTCCATCATACCAGACAGGATCTGTAGACACCCCCCTCAGTCATCTCTCAGAAGCACCATGGGTTTCAGCATTTTGGCCCTTGAATCTCCCACCCGAGGCCTCCTGGCAGCATGTGCCAGGGGAGGCAGCTGCCTCCCTGGCTGTAACTCCCGTCTCAGGAGAAGTGGAAGAATTACCCAGATCCCATGTGGTCACTGAATATAAATACCAGCACCCAGTATGCTCAGGGACACCACCCCTTGTAATTGGCTGGAGCTGCATCCATATTCATACTGCTCATCAACATGGTTCATACTATCCACCCAGAACCTTCCTTGGTTATCTGGATACAGATGAACCTTCACCCATATGCAGCAGCACTGTGAGTGACCCAGGATAAACTAGCTAAACAGTTGTAGCTCTTCTGAAAGGCAGAGACAGAGAGAGACAGAGAGATGCTAAATTTGCCTAACAATCTGCTGTTAAGCAGAAGACCATAATATGCTATACTCAACTATCTACATCCTAGCACTCATCTATGAGGATGCTACATTTACTTACCCTTAGTCAGGCTAGGCACAACTGCCGAACATTTATATATCCCTCCACCAATCACAATAAAGAGAGTCATTTGTTTCGTAAAGAGAGAATTGTTAATTCTCCAGCACTGGCGTGGGATTTTGTTAAAGCCCAACTCCAGTCCCCCTCTTACCCCTCCGTCCCACACCCCTTTAACTAGCTGCTGGTATGAAAAAAACAATCCAAATGCCCATTTTACGCACCTGAAGCCATGTTCACATGATGATCCTTCTCTCTTTTGTTTACTTCCCGATTTCCTTCTTTTGGTGTCCATATCACTGTGTGCTTGATGTACACACCACCTCTTGGTGGAGGCAACACGTTCCGTGGCCGGGACCTCTATCATAGGCTCCAAACAGGAGCACTCATGGGGGTGGTGAAGGAACCATTGCCCAAGAAGATAAGGAGCAGAGAAAATTGTCTGGTCCCCAGGGCAGGCTCATACAGGAAACTGAGACTTTGAGCCAAAGCCCTGCAGGATGGCTTAGGAAGAGGTGTTTGAAATCAAGACTGAGGAATAAGATAACTGATGCACATTGCACTTTTTTACATTTATTTTTTGCCTTGAGTTGGGATATAAGTAGTTTAGTTATAAACAGGTCTTCCTGGAGTTAATCTATAAATATGCACAAATTTTATATAATTTATTAAGCATTTTATTTCATTTATGTGCTATAGCTGGATAAATACTACTGAATTTTTGCCTTGTTTAGGGTACTATATGCAATGATGGGCTTTTGATGTGTTTCTGTGGATGGTGTGAGGTGTGTAGAATGGCTCGGGAAATTAAACGTTATCATCATTAAGCTACATGGTAAGTCTTATAAAACCTCAATTCCTCGAATAATACAGTATCTGTGAATATAGAAAAATAATCTTATTTACTTGTGTGACATATCAATGTTTTAACCTACTTGTGTGAGATTTCCCCTACAATCCAAAAATCTACTGGTAGGTTCACTGGCTTTTACTCTTGTGGTCCTATAATATAGAAGTATGTATATTGCTGAGGAAGGTGTAGGAACATGTATACTATAAGAACATTTGGAAAATGTATCCCCACGTTCGAGCAACTGTATGGGGCCATAATGCCTCCTCACCATCTTTCAGACTCTCTCAAGAGAAATCCATCACAGATCCGCTCTTCAGAGGACAACCCAAGGGCAAATGAGCCATAAGGGTGGACATAAGAAGAATAAGTGCACTTAATGTTTAAAACACCCTATATCTGCAGGCTGGATTTGTTGTATACAGATCCTAAAGGTGAATTCTGGAAACAAAAGCTTTAATTTACAGTATATACATTATTTAATGGTCACAAATATAAACCCAGTTTGTGTGCACCAAATACATTTGCAAATCCAGATATTACCTTGCCAAATACCTTTGCAAACCCAGATATTACCTTTTAGTACCAAGCAGGTCCTCCTAATACAGTCTATCGGCAGAAAAACTACAGGGGGCAGATACAAGACCAATCAACCTGCACATAGAGAAAGCAGCAGTGACCAGTCTGAATTACAGAAAACCACTGCACAGAAGCAAAGTACAGGAGATTCTTCATGCTGGATTACTGCACAGATCTGAAAGAAAACAAAAAGAATACTGAGATTTAATGAAGTATATAGATGAAAAGTGTATTTAAATCTTATTTGTATTTCCCAGATTTCAGAGTTATGACAGTGTTGGCTGTAGCTTTAAACTAAATTTTAGCAATCTTTGGCATTACTTGAAACTTCTTCAGTCAAGTAATTGCACGTTACATGTTGGCATCCTCGCCTTGGATGTCATAGGATCTTGTGTTGGCACTGGTAACAGGATCCTAATGTGAAACTATAGTCGCCTCCACCCCCAGCAATACAGTAGCAAACCAGCCGCTTTTCCAGTGATCTCTTTTTGGCTACTGATTTTCAGCCATGTTAATTGGCTGGGTGAGGAAGGCATTATTTCATCTCGGCAGATGGCAAAATTGTACAATGAGCTGTACATGTGCAGCTCAATGTACAGTGAAAAGAAGGAGGTAACAATGTTTTAATGCAGAAGAGACAAAGTGGGGTTGGTTTACTAATAATGGAGAGTGTAAAAATGGGTGCAGCCAGGGGCGGACTGACAACTCATGGGGCCCCCGGGCAATAGGGGATCATGCGGCCTCTGTATCCTTGCCCAAACTCAAAAAAGCCTATGAAAAAAGGTACCAGGGGCATCTCATGGGGCCCCCTACTGACCCCGGGCCCTAGGGCAGTGCCCGAGTTTCCAAATGGTCAGTTTGCCCCTGGGTGCAGCTGTGCATAGAAACCAATCAGCTTTCATTATTTTTTGTCAAAGCTTAACCACTTGCTGACCGCAGATAGCCAAATGATGGCTTCACTGCGGCTGGCCAGTTCTGGGAGGGCATCATATGACTTCCTCCCAGAACGCGTTTTCCTGCACGCCCCCGGACACAGTTGATCACGTGATGTGGTAAAAGGCCAATCACAGCCTCCCAAACATTTTTCACCTGTCCAGTCACCTTTTGGATGCCATCTTCCAGGGATTGGCCGGATCATGATAAATATTTGTACTAGTCATTTGGCTCTCCCTGCCCTATATTCTGGAAGTGTCTTCCAGAAGTAGGTGGGAGAAATCAAACCCAGCCAGGAAACCCTGACCAGACAAAAAAAATAAATGTCAGCTCTGCTAACTGTAGTGAAGCCAAAAACTAAATTTATCCTAGCAGCCTAACTAGAGGAGGATGTTATGTTACTAATGCTAGCAACATAAGGATGAAAAAAAATAATTAATGTTGATTGAGAGTGTTTAGTTCCGCTTTAATGGTTGACAAGGAGTGCCATTGCAGTTTTATCTCATTTTACAGCTGCAATAAATCTTTTGAGTGTGCTGATAACCAGTGTATACTTCACATTGATTGAGATGAGGTTTGGAGGTCTGCCAAAGGTCTCCTTTGTATGTAGAAAATAACTTTCCTTTTTTTCATTACTATCCTAAGGCCCCTCTCACATAAGCGTTCCATTTTTTTCATCAGTTTAGTCACGTTTTTTACAAGCAAAAACAGATCAGTTTACATCCGTTTTTTCATCAGTTTACATCAGTTTTTTCATCCGTTTTTCATCTGTTTACATCCGTTTTCATCCATTCCATCTGTTTACATCCGTTTTCATCCATTTTTCATCTGTTTACATCCGTTTTCATCCATTCCATCTGTTTACATCCGTTTTGGTCCATTTACATCCGATTTTTGTCCATTTACATCTGCTAGTTCATAGAAATACAAGGGTGTCCATTTTTCATCCGTGAACGGACAGATGAAAAACGGACATACGGAATGCCTGTGTTAACCTTCCTGGCGGTAATCCTGAGTGTACCTTGGGGTTAATTTCAGTACCAGAAGCGGTAACCCCGAGCAACACTCGGGATTACACTGCAGCAATCCCTCAAGCCTTACCTTGTCCTGCGATCCCGCGAGGTCCTCCTGCTGTGTCCCCTGGCCATGTCCGCCGGCCGATGCTGCCATCCATCTCCGGGTTCCGTTCCATACGGGGGGGGGGGGGGGGGTGGAGCCAGCAGGAGATTCAAAAAAGTAAAAATTTGACATACACACAATACACTGTAATCTGTTAGTATTACATTACTGTATCAAACCATTTCACCTTCGTTTTGTCCCTAGTGCTTTGTCCTGCGCCCTGCCTGTACTTTTACTGTTCTTTCTGCCTGGAAACAGAGAAACGTCCATGGCATCCAAAAAGCGTCCCTTTAGGTCAAAATCGGTTTTAGACCAGCTAGAGAACAGCGATAGTAAATTAGAACTACTTGCAGAATTGAGTGATAATGATTTGTGGGGAAATTCGTCATCAGACACTGAAAACGATTCTGGGACCTAAGCTCAGTGATGTGCGAACTGGGCGCTCTATTTCAAATTTCAGTGTTTTTGGTTTGATTGCATTATTTCATTAAATGTATTATTATATTAATTTTTTTTATAATTATTTATTATATTATAATTTATGATTTTGTGTTTCAAACTTTATCATACCCGGGATGTTTACTAGACTCTGTTTGGACAGATTTAAGTGAGTTATTACAGGCCGACAATATAAAAAAACTAATTTCCATGAAAAACCGCTTTGACATTCAAAAATATTGATTAGTTAGACTGCCAGGGAGGTTAAAGAGGCCTAATATTTGCTATCAATTATGTTATTTTTCTCTTTTTTTTTGCTCTTTCAGGCTTCTAATAGAATGCAGCCACACAAGAGAAATCCACCAGAATATTGGAGAACGCCTTAAGTAAAAAACTATATAACTGAATTATCACTTTTTAACAAATAATAAATACTTTATAATATTAAATGTGTTCATGTATCTTGTATTTTTGTATTGAGATCTAAACTCACACTATCTTAATTAGGTGTAGTTAAAGTGTTACTAAACCCACAACAGTAAAATCAGTCTGTATATGCAATAACGCATGCTTGTTATACTCACTGTGGAACCTACGGGGTTAATCCTCTGCATTGTGTAAAATGGCTGTTTGATCCTGTCTTCTCTGATTCTCCCCTTCTTCTACTGTCCCCAATCCATCTGCTCATAGTACAGAGCTCTAGAAGTCACTCTGCACATGCTCAGTTTTCGTGTGTATTGCTAGAGTCTTTTTTTTCTTTGGGAGAGTGTTCAGCACAGGGCCAATCAGCACTGTCCAGACAGAGGGTCAGGGGTTATATAGCATCATAGGACAGTCAGAGGAGAATGAAAAACTCCTCCTACAAGCTTTAACCAGTGCTCTCCTGGACACTGATAGAAGTCACAAGTCTGCTATATACTGCTGATGAGAAAATGTATTTAGCAATTTATATTTACTAAAATAATTGCATTTCCATGTTCTGTGTACTGTGAGAGACCAGATATAGGGAATGCAGGGTCCTAGGTTTAGTAACACTTTAACCAGTTCCAGCCCGGTCAATAGCAAAGTGACGGTCGAGCGGGACTTACAAAGTCAAGAAACGCATCATGCGTCTTACTAAATACCTTGCACTACTTTCCAACAAGGGGTAATTTAGGGGATATCTGTACTGTCCTGACATTTTTGGGCCTCAAGAAATGAGATAGGCCATCATTACAGCAGGATTGATTTTCAGATATATACCATAGTTTGTGGACTCTATAACTTATACACTTATTTGGGTTATGTTCACCAAAGAAATGTAGCAATATACATTTTGGCCTAAATGCACGAAGAGCAATTTGTAAAATTTCATAACAGAAACAAAGAAAAACTTAAAAAAAAAAAAATTTCAGTCTTTTTTAGTTTACTTAAGAAAAGAAAACCCAGTGGTGATTGAATACCACCAAAAAAAAGCTCTAGTTGTGTGAACAAAATAATAAAAATTCAATTTGAGTACAGTGTTGCATGACCGAGCAATTGTCATTCAAAGTGAAACAGTGCTGAAAGCTGAAAATTAGCCTGGGCAGGAAGGGGGTAAATTTGCCCAGAAGTTGTTAATACATCCCTTTACTGAGGGTGGTAAGGAGATAGGGACAATACAAATGATCCTTAAGGCCACATAAGGAGAAGTAGCAGAGAGAGCCAGAAAGGAAGAGACAGGTTGGAAAATAATTTACTTCTTCAGGAAAAATTTTTTTTTTAAATATATTCCTCCCAAGGGAGAGACCTGTGTACCCTTGATAGTCAATTATTACCCAGAGCTGGACATAACACAAAATCATTAAAGTGTTACTAAACTCATGACCCTGCATTCACTATATCCGGTCTCCCACAGTACACAGAACATGGAAATTATAGTTACATAGT